CAAGCACCCTCCTCCTTTCATGGACGACAGAGGCTCAGAGGTGACGCCATCACCCAAGATCACATACCTAATAAGAGACACAGACAAAATTAGAGTTCAGGACTCTAACAGAACCTGTGCTCACAGGAAGCCTGTGGGACAAGTTAGAAATGTAGATTTCACTCATGCCCCTTTTTGCCTTGGCTGCCAGGAAGCTCAGCTTTATTTACTTATTTTTTTAGAGATTTTATTTATTCATGAGAGACACAGAGAGACAGAGACACAGGCAGAGGGAGAAGCAGGCTCCATGCAGGGAGCCTGATGTGGGACTCGATCCCAGGTCTCCGGGATCACGCCCCGGGCCAAAGGCAGGCACTAAACCGCTGAGTCACCCAGGGATCCCCGGAAGCTCAGCTTTAACTAGAATGTTCAGTGGCTCTGCTAGCCCTGCATGGTCAGCCACCAAGGGCAAAAGCAGAACATTTCCAGGTTGTGTGGTTACTCTCTCCTCCATAGCAGGGAGGAGAGGGGAATGAGGACAGGGAGAAGGCCGTGGGGTCTGAGGCAACCAGGTGGGTGGCACTCCCCGTGAGGGTAGTTAACTAGCAGTGGGACAGGGCCCAGGATGCAGTGGGCTGAGTCAGTGGGAGCACATGGGAACAGTGAGCATCAGGGATGAGGTGGGAGGAGCTGGGCTTGGGCTCGACCTCCCTGCTGGAGGCCGTGGCGGGAGCAGAGCCACTTTACCATCCTGCGTGTCTCCCTGCCAGGTGGCGGACAGTGAGGTGAAGGCAGGGACCCTGCAGCTGACAGTGGAACGGCTGAGCGGGGCCCTGGTCAAGGTGGAGGAGAGCGAGGGGCTCCTGCGGGACAAGGTGCAGGGCCTTACAGAAGCCCTGGCCCAGAATAGCGCCAGCCTTACCAGCAGCCAGGACAAGAACCTGCACCTGCAGAAGGCCCTCACCGCCTGTGAACATGACCGCCAAGTGCTCCAGGTATGGGGGTTCTGGGGCCTGGCTGGGAGTGGGCCCTGAGAGTCAGCCCCCGAGGGCAGGCCTGGAGGGGCCCTGATAGGGAGCCAGGCAGCGGGGCCATCGGGCACCCTAGGGAGCCCGGTAGGGAGGCTTTGAGGGGGGTGGGCCCAATAAAAGCATCTGCCAATAGGAGACTTGTGGGGGGGGCAGTAAGAATCAGCCTACTCGTAGAGGCTTAGAGGGACCCAGAGGCAGGGTTGTGGGCAGAGTTGGTGTCTGGGAGGGGGTCCCCACATGTTGAAGGTCAGTGGGCCAGGCCCACCGTCTTCCTTGCCCTCCAGATAAGGTCTTTGAGCTGTTTTGTGGGCTGTGACCCTGACCTGGAGGTACAGAGTAGAGGGGAGCCTTCGCTCCCTCCTGACCCCATCAGCCCCTGTCCCCCAGGAACGGCTGGAGGCCGCCCGGCAGGCATTGTCTGAGGCTCGGAAGCAGAGCAGCTCCCTGGGTGAGCAGGTGCAGACGATGCGGGGCGAGCTGGCGGACCTGGAGCTGCAGCGGGCGGAGGCAGAGGGCCAGCTGCAACAGCTCCAGGAGGTGAGGGCCGGGGGGGCCCCTCTGTCCCCAGGACGCTGAGGCCCTCAGGTGGAGTGGGACCTTCCTTACCCAACCTTATCCCAACCCCAGGCCCAGCCTCCTGTGGGGAAGCATTATCCGTTCATCCCACAGCCCAGTTACAGGGATGGAGAAGCTGAGGCCCGGAGAGGTGGCCTCGGGTGATGTTGTCTGGCGTGGGCCTCACAGCCGCCCTGCCGAGCCGAGGCCGGCATCACCGTGGCCACGCTTCAAGGGCGCACTCCGAGGCCCGGCGGCGGCGTTAGGGGCTCCCTGGCTTCTGCAGGTGCTGCGGCAGCGCCAGGAGGGTGAGGCTGCGGCCCTGCACACGGTCCAGAAGCTGCGGGACGAGCGGCGGCTGCTGCAGGAGCGCCTGGACAGCCTGCAGGGCGCCCTCGCCCAGCGGGAGGCCGAGAAGCGGGAGGTGGAGCGGTCAGCGCTGCGGCTGGAGAAGGACCGGGTGGCCCTCAAGAGGATGCTGGACAAGGTGGGCTGCGCCTCGGGGCCCTCCCCTCCCTTCCTCTGGGTCCTAGCCCTGCTCTCGGCCCTGTGTCTGCAGGGTCTGGGGGCCTCGGGTGCCCCCGGTCCCTGGTCTTGCCGTCTCAAAGCTGCCACCCCTCTCTGAGCCCTCTCTGAGCCCTCTCTGAGCCCCCCCTCTCTTCGGGCACCCTGATGCCCTCCTGCTGTCCCCGCCCAGGTGGAGCGGGAGAAGCTTCGCAGCCACGAGGACACGGTGCGGCTGAATGCGGAGAGGGGCCGCCTGGACCGCACACTCACAGGGGCCGAGCTGGAGCTGGCTGAGGCCCAGAGGCAGATCCAGCTGCTGGAGGTCCAGCCCCTGGCCACCCTCTCTCTCCCTAGCCCCGGACCCCACCCCCTGCCCCCGCCCTCGGCCTGAGTGCTCAGCAGCCCAGGGTCCTCAGCCTTCATAACCCACAAGTCGGACCCTTGGAGGGGGCAGCCCAGAGCCAGGTCCCAGAGGGAGGGGTCCTCCCCAGCGTGGAGCGAAGATGCCCCTTAGCATGTGAGCCTGTGTGGGTGTGTGTGTGGACATGTAGAGGCGTGAGTGTGCCGGGGAGTATTCTTGTGCATGTAGCATGAACCTTGTACACGGATGTGGCAAACCTAAGTATTAGGAATATGTTTTATGTGTGTGTCTCTCTGTACAGATGTCTTCATATATGTAGGTGTGTGTAGTGTTGGGCTTTTGCACATACGCATGTATCCGTGTGAACACGGTAAGTATTGACATGCTTGCTTTTGTGCCTGTGTGTGTGTGGGGGCCGGTCTCTGTTGGACTGTATCCCTGTGCGTGTGTGTGCATGTGTGTGCATGCGTGTGCATGCCTGTCAGTGGGGCTCACTAGGTCCCCCGACCCAGGATCCACAGACCAGGTGGGCCAGGAACAGGGGAGACAGACAAGGATCTCTGCTGCATCTCCTGCCTGCACGGACTTTGTCTTGAGGGGCCTTGAGGCTCCTGGGAGGTGCCTGACATCCCCTTGCACACACGTGCCTGCGCACACACGTAGGGCCGACCCCCGACAAGCCGCCCCTCCTGCAGGCCCAGGTGGTGGCACTGGAGCAGGACCAGAGCCCAGGCCGGCTGGAGGCGGACGAGCAGCGGCAGCTGGAGCTGCAGCAGGAGGTGGAGCGCCTGCGCAGTGCCCAGGTGCGGACGGAGCGCACCCTGGAGGCGCGGGAGCGGGCCCACCGGCAGCGGGTGCGCGGGCTGGAGGAGCAGGTACTCGGCCGGGCTGTGCTCGGGCCCCTCCCCAGGACGCAGCAGAAGCAGCAGGACGTTCCCTCAGGAAGCCAGGCTGGGGTGGAAGTGTGTGGGGTCCGGGGGGCGGGTGCAGAGGGCCAGGCTCGAGCCCTGGTAGGAGCCCTCAGCGGCACCCATGACCCAAGGGGCCTGGTGCACCCATGCTCGTGTCGGTTGTGGCCTAATGCTGGGGCTCCGGTGTTGTCACTGGGACTCAGTCCCCTTGGCGTGGCTCTGCTGTCCTCGTGGCTGTCCCCTGAGCACTGCAGGTGGCCTGAGCGGGCCCCAGCCTGGGTTATCTAGAGGAAAGGGGGCCTTTTTCCTGGGAGCAACAGCACAGGGGCTGGGGAGGACCCGTACTGGCCAGTGTGGATCCCACTCCCCTTCCCACCCGTCCCTGACCTGACCTGTGCACGGGTAGGCCAGCCCTGGGTCACGGGTCCCCCGTCGGACTAGCAGCAGGCCTAACGATGAGTGTGGGGACCGGGGGCCCCCTGAAGAGATGGGAGGAATGGCCAGAAGACAGCCAGCTGCCCCGTGGGACGCACGGGAGGGGAAGGAAGCACCCTGGTGCTTCATGAAGTCCGTTTTTTCCTGGGACAGGCAGGATGGGGTCCCTTGTGGGGCCCCAGCGGCAGCCATCCCCCTTCTCCGACACCAGGCTGGGGGCCTGGGCCGCGGCCCCACCTTCTCTCTCTCCTCCAGGTGTCCACACTGAAGGGGCAGTTGCACCAGGAGCTCCGGAGGACCTCAGTGTCCTTCCCCCCCGCGTCCGGCCCCGCGGGGCAGTGAGCCCCTTCCTCGCTGGCATCCTGGAGACGGCTGCGGCCAGGGCAGGACGGCAGCCCCCTCTCGCTCGGCCCACCCAGGCCCTGGCCTGTCCCGGCCACCGGAGCTCGGACACCGGAGCTCGGCCGGGGGTGGGGAGGGGCCGGGTGGCAGGGCCGAGGGCCAGGGACTCCAGCAGCAGCTTCTCACGTCATCCGTGGGCCCCGCTTTGGTCTGGTCCCTCCCGGGGATGAGCCTCCCGAGTGGCTGAGCCGAAGCCGGGGGTCTCCTGGACCCCCCTGCCTCTGGTTGGCCTGGAGCATGGGCTCCCGGGAAGGCGGGGGAGCCTGGGAGGCAGAGACCCAGGCCCGCCCCTGGCTTTCCAGAGCTCTCTCCGCCTTAGTTCAGCGTGTTTGTCAGGAAATTCCTCAGAGTCCAGAGTCCTTGTATTTTTATACCTTTTTACAGTGTTAACTGTTCAGAACGGTTGTGTTTTTTGTAGCAAGGAGACCTCATTTTCTAAAAACGGTTTGTACAGACGTGTCCTGCTACTTGGGTCCCTCCTGTACTCCTGTGCCTGAGAGATGCGGCAGCAGGGAGACAGTGGGGCCTGGGCCAGGAGGGACGGGACCGGGTGGGAGGCCGGGGGCGCGCAGGGGGAGGGGGCGGCTCATGGAGGGCCCTGGCATTCCCCGCCTCCCGGGATGTTGGCACAGGGAGGTCCCTGGGTAACAGATGGGACTGTGACCCGAACTGCTCAGGATCGGGACCGCAGAGGCAAGACCACAGGTCACCTGAGTGGTCCCTTCTCCCCAGGGGGCCAGGCAGCCTCTGGGTGAGGACAGGTGGTAGTGGGAGGCTGCTGGCCACCGCTCTGGCTCCTGCCCGAAAAATGACCGAATCTTTTGTAAAAACCATTTTAATTTTGTATAAAACAAGGGTGGTCTATGCCCGGGAGCTGTACGAAGTCCTAGCGGACCAACTGGGGTGTGAGGGGCACAGCCTACCTGGAGGGGCTGGGGGCAGGGGGACGGAGAAGGCACATCAGAGGCCCGGATGCCCCTCATCGGGGGGTGAGGAGCCCTGGGCAGTGGGGAGCCCCCCTTGGGCCCCGGGGTGGCCGCAGGCTGGGAGAGGGGCCCGAGACCAACCCCGCAGGGCCATAGTCCACTAACTTCTTACAGAATAAAAGGAATGTCAGGCCGGGGAGAAAAGCACCAGGTCAGGCAGGGCCTGAGGGCCCCGGGTCCGAGAAAGGCCCAGGGCTTGGGGTGCCAGCTCCGCCCTAGCAGCCCCCGCAGCTTCTGGCACAGGAGGCCGCCACAGACTGGCACAGGCCGCTGCTGGCCATCACGCCACATTTGGAGAACTTGTCCCGACACAGGTCAGCTGTGGTGGGGGCAAGGAGTGGGGTCAGGGTGGGGGAGGTGATGGAGAATCAGCCCCCTTCTTAGCCCTGGGACTGGGAATGTTCTGAGGCTAAGGGGCCAGGAGGGAGTGCAGGACCAGGTGGGCAGGGGAAGGGATGCTGAGGGGGTGGGGAGCGGGGAGGGGTCTCGGGGTGCAGGCCCTCCTACCTCGGAGGAGCTCCTCGTGAGCACAGACTGTGCGGACACAGATCTCCTTGTTTACCACGTACACGCGGCGGAGGCTGGGGGTGCAGAGGGAATGGTGGTGTCACCCCAACCTCACCCAGCCCCACAGGGGGAGCCCACACATCCCGCCCCCTACATCTGGGCTCGACCAGGGTGGGGTTCCATTTCAGGATTCCCGCGTCCCTAAAGCCCACCTGGGCTGGCCGCCGCCCTGCACCCCGTCCCCCACCCCACCCCTGCTCACCTGTAGAAGCAGACCTCATTGAGACACTGCTTGCAGGGCTTGTGGATGGAGTAGAGGCGGGTGCAGGGGTACTGCTCCTCGCGGCAGTCTGCGTGACAGGCGGGATCAGATGCGGGGCTGGTGGGTGGCACCCAGGTCACCCACCGACTTGTTGGTCCTCCCGAGCTGCCCGCTTTTACACGGTATATACGTGCACGGACTCGCAACTGCACTCGGAAGCACATATTGGTAACTGATGACAACCCACTGCCACCCCTGCCACGTGGGCATGTGCAGGGCTGGGCACGCTCACCAGAGCACCCCCGAGCACTGAGCTCGCGGTGAGAGCAGCCCTCAGTCTGGCTCTCGGGCTCCTGGGGCAGCTCAGCTAGCCTGGGCTGCTGGTTCCCTTTGTGTCACCTGCCGTGGGCACCACCCAGTCCTGCTGGCTGGCAGGCAGGAAGCCCAGCATCTCCTTTCCCCTTCCCAGTGTCTGGGGGTAAAGGGCCCTTCCTGAGCCCACAGCCAAGCCCAGGAGGAAGGGGTCCCCCAGAGCTGCCTGGGGGGCCATGGGGTTGCTGGCCTAAAGCAGGGGCAGGTCTGCAAGCCCCTGACCCTACAGCCACCCAGCAAAAACAAAAGGCCCGGCTGTCTCTGTCCCAAGAGCGCTGCACCCACGCGACCCCGATTTCTGGGCCCGTGCCCCCGTTTTCTCCAGCTGTCGGGGGAGCTCTTACCCAGAGGCCCAGGCTCCGTGGGCTCTGTCTCCACGCTTCCAGGCGCTGGTGTTGGGAGAGGGGCAGGCAGAGATCACTGAGAGGGGTCCGTTCCGGGCACCTGTCCCGCCCTGGCGGGGCCCCGCTCCCGGGGTGGACAGGAGCCGGCTGCCTACCTACGGTGGGGGCCGGGATGACTTCCTGTGGGACTTGCTGCTGGGACTGGAACTGGAACTGCTCCGCGGGGGGCCGAGGAGTCACCTCTGAGACGGGACGATAGGGGGTCCACTCCATCCTCTCCACCCCAGCCCCCAGCTGCCCACCTCCCGCCCCAGCCCTTTACCTTGATAATCATAGTAGTCCGGGTTGTCTGCGAACAAAGACGGATACGGAGCCGTCGGGGGGCAGGCGAGCTCTCAGTCCCAAGGGGCCAAGGAGGTCGGGGCGAAGCCCAAGACCACCCCGACTCCCACCGCCCTAACCCCCGGGCCCCGGCTGGTCATGTAAACGGGGGGGGGGCAGGCCTTGACGCGGCGGGGCGTGGGGAGACCCGCGCAGGGCGAGGCCCTTACCTATCTGGTCACTGTAGTGGGTGTACTGGACGTGGTCCGGGAACGGAGGCAGTGGGTCGAGGTCGTATTGGCCCTGAGCTAGCAGGCCAGCTGTGAGGAGGCAAAGCATGATGGGGTGCCCTGCGGGGGCCCCGGGGCACTTCTGGGGAGGAGACGCAGAGGTCCCAAGGGCCACCCACGAGACCCGGAGATTCTACAACCAGATTCTCAAATCCAAGGGACCTGAACTCCTTCCTCGACGGTAAAGGCCCTCACATTCCCTGCATCTGTGTCACCCCGCTGACCTTTGCTGGCCTGTCACCCCCATGCTAGCGTCCTGGCTATTCCTGGAACTCAGCACACTCCTGTCTGCCCCAGGGCCTTTGCCCTCAACTTTCCCTAGGCCCGTAATGTTCGTTAACTTCTCTTCCTTCACGTCTCAACTAAAAAGTCAGTCCCGCCAAGAGGCCCTCCCTGGCCCAACCACCCTCTCCACCCCCTCCCTAGTTTCTTTCCATCCTAGCACGACACGCTGACATTTATCACATGCACCTGATGTAGCAGCCCGAGAGCAGGGATGCATCTCCCCGGGGGCTGGCCCAGGGCCTGGCACATAGTAGGAACCCGGCAAGGAGCTGTCACATGACACATTAGACCCAGCCGGCCCTTCACCCCCACGGGCAACTCCTCATTTGACGGAGAGGGATCAGTCCCCGGTCAAGGTTGTGTAGGGTGGCTGGTTCCCAACCGGGTCTAGGACCCAGACCTACAGACTCCCTGCCCTGTGCCTCTCCCTCCTACACTTGGGCTCCCGGCAGGGAGGAAGAGCAGGGGCTCCCAGTGCCCGGGTGTGCACCCACTCTCCAGAGCCCCGCCCTGGCTGCTGCTGCTGCTGCTGCTGCTGCTGCTGCTGCTGCTGCGGAGGCCTGGGGTCAGGGGCTGGGAGGGCTTGGCCAGTCCAGTCTGTGGCCCAGGAACCCGGGGAGCTGAGCTCTGGCCCCAGGGCACAATAAAGGTTGGGCCCAGCTGCCCTCCAGCCACACCCGGGAGCCCCCCAGGCAGGAACAGGAGCCACTCACCAGGCAGGAACAGCAGGAAGAGGTAGGCAGCTCTCATGGCTCCGGGGTGAGGCCGTCTGGGCTGGTGTCAGGACAGCTGGAGGAAGAGGAGGGGCAAGCTGCGGCTCCGGTGGGGACGCCGAGCCCACCTCTGCTCCCCCGCATCCAGCCCGGAGAAGGAGGCCCCAGAATAGAAGCCAGGGGGCCGGCGGGGCGCAGCAGGGGCTACTTCGGAGGGACATCTGCTGTCCCCTGTGGCCCAGCGGGCGTTCAGGTCCTGCGGAACAAGGCCTCCAGCCTTGCAAACGGACAGAACTCAGCCTGCCCTGCTCACCAAGGGGGTGTTTCTGGCTCCCCACTAGCCTTGACTCTGCTCCCCTCGCCCACAGCCAGGCCCTCCTGAAGCAGCGCCTCCTGGGGTGTCATGCACTGACTGCATGGACCCCTGACCCAGGCCCATCCTCAGGACCCCGCTCTGCCACCATCACGGCGGCCTCGCGGCTGCCAAACCCACCACCTGTTCCCAATTAGCCCCCGGGCCCTGAGTGTCTTGCTCTGCAGGAAACCGCATGCATGCATGGGCCCCGGGGCCCGAAGGGCAGCCAGGCCTGGGCAGGGCTCCCACCCCCAGAAGATTCCTCTCCTGCCAGGCCTCCGGGCTCCTAAGACCTGGCTGCCTCCATCACAGACTCACGAGACTAAGGTCTATTTGTCTGGAGCAGCAGGAAACACTTAGGGTGGAGTCTGAGGAGAGCTGCTCTGGATCCTAGAAGGGCAGCGCTGGAGGGACTGTGATGTCACCCGGCCCGGGGCTCCTGAGCCCCCCAACTCTGCCTGACAAGCGCTGAGCGGGTCATTCTGCGGGGAGGGCCCAGTGGTCCGCAGCCTTCACCAGGCCCCTGAAGTCCAAGAACTGCCGTCTTTGGCCGCGCAGTGGGCTTGGCAGGCTCTGCGGGTCCCCGTGCGCTGTCCCAGCCCAGTGGGAGGCAGTCTCAAGACTGTCATCCTTTGCCGGGAGTCCGGGCGAGCGTCCAGGGCTCAGCCGTCCAGGAGGGCCCCTCCCACCGCGGCGAAGGGAGCTCTGCGCCCAACTAGGCAGCGAACCCAGACCCAACCGCCCAACTGGCCGCTGCTGCCGGCGTCTAGGGGGAAGGCGAAGGGACGTGGGCCTGTGGGCATCCGTCCCTCTCCCTCCTCCCTCCCAGTCCACAGCCTTTGGGGACCCCGGCCTGGCTCCTCCACTCACCTCCTCCCTTCCTTACTGAGGTGGGTGGGGTGGGGTGGAGATGAGCCCCACGACTCAAGCTGCCCCAGAGGCAGGGGACATCTGGTTCCCCACATTCTGAAAACCCTTGGCCTTCTCCTGGCAGGAGGGACGGAAGGACCCGGAGCTCTTTCCTTGCAACTCCCCACAAAGCCTCCGTATCCCGTCCTCGTCCCCCGGGGCTGGTGGCAGCCAGGCCAGCTGGACCTGTCATCACTCGGGAGCAGGCCCTGAGTTGGGGCCTAAGGGGCCTTAAGAAGTGGGGCGGGGGCCGTGTGCCCCCCAAACCCCTCCTAGGCCTCCCGGCCCCCTGCATGGCGTTTTCCCCAGGAGGTCTGGCACCCGGACCCAGGCCCACCGGGAGAGGGGCCCCCAGGGGCAGGAGTGCGGGAGTCATGACCGGAGCCGCGGGGGGCGTCGGGTCACATCTCCAAGGCCGTCTAGACGTGGGATTTGGCGGCGCCTCCCCGGCCTACCCCCTCCGGCGGGCCGGGATCCCACCGCAGGCGATGCAGGGATGGGGGCGGGGGGGGGGGTGCCTAGGAGCCCAGGCTGCCCGCGGAGGCCGGGGGGGGGGTGGGGGGGGGGGGGGGGGACCAGATGTGGCCGCGCAGCTGGGAGGCATCAGCCGGCTCGCTCGGCTCCCCGCGCCCTCCCGCGCCCTCCCGGTCCCGGGGTCCCTTTGTCTCCGCTCCGGCCGCCGCCCCGCCGCCCCCTCCTCTGGCTCCCCCAAACTCGGGCCCCCTCCAACGACCCCCGGCCCCCCAGGTGCCCCCCAGCATCTGCTCGGACGGCCCGGGGCCAGGAGGGTCCCCGCCCGGGCCGCGGAGCCCGCACCCCGCACCCGGGCCCCCCCCACCCCGCACCCGGGCCCCCCTGCACCCCGGGCCCCCGCCGCCCGCCCCCGCACCGCCCCCGCACCCCGCCCCCGCACCCGCCGCCCGGCCCGCGCCTACCTGGTCGGGTCCCTGCGCCGCCCGCCGAGTGCGCCCGGAGCCGCCCCTCCGCCCGCGCCGAGCCCCCCTCCGGGCCCCCGACGGGCCGGCGCCCGCCCTCCAGCCCCGGAGCCGCTGGGTCCTAACGCGCGCCCCGCCCGCCGCCGCCGCCGCCGCCGCCGCCGCCGCCGGGGGAGGCCCTGGGAGAGGCCCTGGGGGAGGCGCCCCGGCCCCGCCCCCCGCGCGGACCGCGGGCCCCACAACGCCCGGCCGCCCCCCGCCGCGTCTGGGCTGCGGTCTGCGGGGAGGTGGGTTGTGCAGGACGGGCCACCCCATTGCGCGGAGGAGAAGCCCGAGGCTCCTAAGGGGCCCGCTCGGCTCTGTCCCCTCTGGCCCCGGGACAGCCTCCCTCCCCGGCCAGCTCCAGGGGGGGCCTGGCTTCCAGAACCAGCACTGCCCTCAGCCCCTGGACCACAGGCCCCCAAGTATGTCCCAAGGGCAGCAAGGCCTCGAGCAGGACACGTGTCCAGGAGGCCGCCCTGGGCAAGGGCAGCGCCGTCCATGGCTCAGGTCACCTCCCTCGCTCGCCCTGCGTCCAGCCCAGCACCCAGCCGCCGATCCTGCTTCCAGATGTTTCTGGAGCCCGTGCACAGCCCCCTCTGCAGTGTAAGCCACGTGAGCTCCCGCGGGGCCTGTGTAATAGCCCCTCACGGGGCCCTGCCCTCTGGGGCCCACCTCGGCCACTGGCCCCTTCCTCCATAAGGCCTTTTGCTGGGTTCCCAGGGGAAGGAAGCTAAGGCTGCCCGTGCCCCCCCACCCTGCCCCCCAGGACCCTGCCCTTCATCTGGGTCTGGCTTGGGGCTCCCCACAGCCCAAGGGCCTTTGGGCACTCTCACTGAACCCCTTCCTCCCCTCAGCGCCTGGCTGCTCCTTCCTGCTGGCCCCCTTGGGGCGCCGGCCCCCTCCTTGGGGTTAAAGACCAAGCCTCCCTCCTTCCCTTTCTCCCGGCGCCCCAGGCCCTTCTGCTCCGCTGCTCACAGCTGTCCTGTTGGCCTGCGTGTGCGACCAACCGACCGTTTGAATCCGGCTCCTCTCCCACGTGAGCCCGCGAGCTTGCGGTCTGAGTGGAGACAGCAAACGAGTCTGTTTTTGCTCATCCCCCGTTTAGGCTCATTAGGCCCAGTGCCAGGCTCGGAGCAGCCGTTCAGTAAACGTCAATGGAACGATGAACGTGCGCTCAGTTCTCCCGGGAGAGGCTGGCTGGCTGGGGTGTGGGCTCCTGCCTGGGCCGGGGAGCCCGGGGATCTCCCTTCCCCCAGTCACGCACCCCACAACTGCCTGTCCCTTGAACTCCGATTCCTATTAGGCCGAAACTCCGTAAGTCCCATGCATCATCTGTTCCCTGGTGCTGGTGTGTCAAAGGGATGAACGAATGAAGGAAGGAATGGATACCAGCCGGGCCTCCCCGGGGTCTGCCGCCCAAGAGCAGAGTCTGGCTACCTGGCGCCCTCCCTGCGCTTTCTAGGTTCTTACTCCACTAGGGGAGGAGGGTGCACCTGGCAGTCACGCTGTCCCCTGCACTCCACAGAGGGGGCAACGGAGCCCCACAGCTTCCCACTCCTGGGGCCAGGCCCCCAGATCCTCTCTGGGGCTTTGAGCCCCTCCCCTGACCCTGAGGACCTGAGCAGGGGGCGGCAGCTCTTTGGGGAGGGTGTAGTGGGTGCAGACACTCTTCTCCCCGCGACCCTGGAGATTTGCTCCTTCCCTGCTGGCCGCTCACACACGGCAGAGGCCATCCCATCTGTTGTCTGTCGCGCTAGCACCTGTGCCCAAAACCCGAGTGACTGAATCGGCTAAGGGGACAGGAGGGCCTCGAAGCCAGGCCTCCGGGGAACTCCAGCCTCCCCCCGACCAGCCCCAACCACCCCGAACTGGGCTGCCCGGTGCCTCTGTGCCCAGTGCGGGTCTACGGCTGCGCCCCTTATCGGAAGCTGCTTTTTCACACCCAACACCCCACCTTCTCAGTTTGACTCCACATTTACGGAGCTCCCTCCCACCAGGGGAGCCAGGTGGGGCACCCAGGCTTTCTGTAATGAGGTCGGCGGGGGCTCCCCGGGGACAGGAGGCGGTCCTGCTTTCCTGCTCACTCCTGCACAGCGCAGACGGGCCGGATGACCGAGTGGCCTCTCCAGGGCAGGGCTTGGCCAGTGTCCCGCTGGTGGGATGGTCAGAAGCACCCACCCTCCCCGGGGGGACAGTGCACATGTCTCGGGCTGGGACAGACGTGGGCTCGGAGCCTGGACTTTCATCCGAGAGGGGAACTGGACCACAAACTCATCATGGGGTGCAGGGGTGGGGGCCGAAGGGAAGTGGCCTCGTTCAATGCCTCGGAGCCGCTGGCTCTTGGGGGACGCAAGTCTGTTCTCCTGCTGCCCCCACAGGAAGGCAGGAGTAAGAGTGGATGCTGGAGTCCGAGCCAGCTGGCCCCACCTCGGACTATGCACGTGGCCTCTTAAGCCTCAGTTTCTCTATCTGGAGAACGAGGACGAGACTCCACAGCGGCAAGGACTGAACGACGACACACGTGAAGTGCTAAAGGGAACACGAGGCATGGGCTCAACCCGCAAATATCGTTCCTGTCAGATGAACAAACGGAGGCCCAGAGAGGGGAGTCGCCCAATGTGATCTGAAAAATCAGGGGTGCCAGGGGCAGACCCATGCCAGGGGCTACCAGCTGGACACCCATTCGTGGTGCCACATAGGAGACAGGCTGCGCCAGGAAAATATCATGACTTTATTTGCTACATTGACAGCGGCTCCGGGGGGGAGGGTGGGGGGCTGTCGTCTACACGGGATGTCTGAACTTGGGGGACAATATTATTTCCCCAGCTGAGGGCAGGGGGGCCGGGGCGGGCAGATGCGGGACAGGAGCAGGACATCTGCCAACCTCCGGGCGGTGGCTGTCTCTAGAGGTGGGTCCCAGTCGGTGGCTCAGAGGCAGGGAGATCAGGCGTCCGGGGTGGCCAGGCCGCGCTACCTCACGGGCCCGGTGGGCGGTGGCCAGGGCTGCTCGGCCAACTCCCGCTCCAGCTGCTTGAAGCGCTTCTTTGAGGCCTTTTTGGGCCGGAGCCGCCGCAGGCAGGCCGGGAGGCACTGGTCCAGCACGCTCTGCGGAGGACGGGGAGGGCGCAGAGGGGCAGCTGTGACTGAGGCCACCCCCCAGAGCCCCTCTGTCCCCCAACCCAGGGCGAGCCCCACCTCCAGCACGAAGGCCGCCACAAAGTTGAAGGCCACCAGGCCCAGCAGCACCAGCTTGAAGCAGGTGTCGGCGATGTTCCTCAGCGCCAGTGGGCCCTGCAGGAGGCCAGGGACCAGGAGGAGGCCCGCCAGGATGGAGCCCAGGAGCGCCAGGGCCAGGAGGAAGGGCACTGGGGGCGAGGGTGGCATCAGGACAGGGGGGCCCCCATGGGCGCCAGACCCCCCAGCCCGTCCCTCCACCCGCATCCGGCCTGCCGGGCAGCAGCGGTACCGTTGGTGTAGAGAGGCCGGCGGAAGGGCGCCCCCTTGGACACGGCTGCGGCCAGGATGAGGTACTGGAAGCCAGACAGGGAGAAGACCACGGTGTTCTCATAGTTGGGCAGGTTGTCGGGCGCGGGCACGGTCTTGTTCAGAGGCACGAACCTGGCGGCACGAAGACCCGGGGTCGCGAACAGGCCTGCGGAGGGCAGGGGCGGGCTCCGCGGGCGGCCCCCGACTCACCAGGGTTGGGCCACGGTCAGGAAGTAGCCTCCCAGCTGCACGCCGGCCACCAGCACCACGTGCAGCAGGAGGCTGCTCAGCACAGGGACGCTGAGCAGGGCCCCTGGGGGTCGTGCCCGCCCCAGCGCCAGCGCCGGCCCCGTGCGGCTCATGAGCACCGCCACCGTGGTGGTGATGACCAGGTCAATGGCCAGGAACTGCACGTCACCCAGGTTGGTGTT